CACAGTAACTACTGTCTTGCTGGGTTTTTCACAGGAGCAAAGTAACTTATTCACTAGGACAAAGGAGAAAATACATTGATTTACATTGCAACACTGCTGAGGCTGGATGTATTTTGGGTGTGTTAGCCAATCTCTTTCTCTGCAATTCCATATTGTTTGTGCAAGTTCTTTTTTTCTTTTAGTTTTATTGATTTTATTTTTTAAAAATACATGACAATGGAATTCATTACAGTTCTTATTAAATAAACAAACAAACAAACAAAAACCCTTAGCGATCCATTTCTTTCTTTCTTTTCATCCAGTAGGTGAAGTTGTCTCATCCAGTAGATGTCTCTGCCCTCAGGAGGGTGTAGGTAATCAGGGTGAGAATACTGGACTTGGTGTGGAGCATCTGGAAGTGGGTAGTGCCACCCACCAGTCCCAGCAGGGAAATAGCGCCTCACAGGTCTTTTTTGAGACCACTCCCCGGACTTGAGCACCCAGTGTTGTCTCCATCTCTTGCCTGGAGCTTTCCCAGATCCTAGTCTCTCTGTTAAGCTTCAGACTTTAGTCCCCTCCCCTCTCTTACTTATCAGGTCCCAACTGCAGAACCTCTCACCCCCAGGCTCACACCACGTGGGAGATGCCCTGTTTGCAATGCACTCCTGTCCAGCTGAGAGCTATTTTTGTGATGGGTGGTCACTGTGCAGAGTTAAGGCTGTTGGGAAGGTGTGGGGGCGATTGGAAATCAGGTACCCGCTCAGAAGGTGATCCAATCTGATAGCCACACCCACCACAAGGTGGTGAGGAGGGTTTTCCAAGATGTAGTCCGTCTGCTTCCAGCGCCAGGGTGTCAAGTGAGGTGGGGGGAGCTGGGCGATGGCCCTATATTTTGTGTAGGTAGCAGCCGAGTAGTGACCTGCTTGGGAGCATCGCGCAGTCTGGAGCTCTGCAGAGGTGCTGACAGGTGGTTCTGCTAAACCACTTGTGAGCCATGTGTGAGCTAGAACTTCGGGCTTTGGGTCCAGAATCAGCAGATTTACTCGGGCCCAAAGGCCTGATATCTTCACAGTGCTGGTGATTTCTGTGAAAACCCGCTGTATAGGGGTCCTCTCACACTCTCTGAGATATCCTATTCTGTCTAGGTGAGACCTTGTGGAGAATTTGCCTGTCTGCTGTCTTGGTTTCACGCCACAGAGCAGCCAGAGACAGGACTCCTCTATTTTGCCATCTTGGATCTCCTGTTTGTGCAAATTCTTTTTTTCTTTTTT